TCACATTCTCACATCTATCTCCCACCAAACAGGAGAGAATTCTGCATCAAATAAATTGTAGTAGAAAATAAATGCTCATTTCTATTTTTTTTTTTTTTTTTTTTAAATTGTAAAGCTTGTCAGACAGTGTCCAGAGAGGCTGTTGAGCTCCCATCCTCAGGTGACCCTGCTCTGAGCAGAACCAGGTGCTGTAGCAGCCATGGGCAGGCACTCAGCAGATGCTGACAGTGTTGGTAGAGGCAGGAGCTTTCACTGTGACTGTGACTGCATAGAAATGCAAGTTTGAAAGGAGAAAATTCACCTGAGCCTCTTCAGTCAAGACTTTCCAAATTTCAAACCATTCTAGGGATTTCATCTGAACTCACTCTGATCTTCTCTCATTAAAAAGAGTGGGTTTATTTCTGCCAACATTAATGCACTTTTTTATTTCTCTTTGAGCCCCCATTCCTTGTTCCTAGCCGTTTGATCTTTGCACTTAGCTCTTTAATTAAAAGAAGGCAAGCCAKCTTTTCCTGCTGCCTGGACCTCTCTCTAGGAGCTATCTTTATCTCTCATTCCGTTAGTGCCAACCACAGTCTTTACCACCAATTTCTCTTGCCTTCCCTCCCAATCCATGAACTCCCTTGAACTACATTTGGGTAAGAAAACCCTAACAGAAAAGTTATTTTTGAAAGATGATTCCCATTTAGTATTTTCTTTTAAAGTATCTCTAGCAAATTCTCAATTTTCATCTCTGTACTTTGAAGTTCGAGTAGTTCTTTATTTTTAAATGAGAAAGTCTTATGGCATTGTATAACTCTGCTCTTTTAACAAATGCAGACTTTTTCAGACTAGAAATCCTACCATAAATGAAACTCCTACATATTTAAAGTTTTATCTTTCATTAAACTATGTTGTTTGGTATTAATTATGGTGTTCACCCTTGATTCTTTATCCTCTTTTGCTTTCCTGAGATTTTGCCCTGGGTAAGCATTAAATTGATGGACCAATAGTTAGATTTTCAGCACATTATCCTTTGAAAACATTGAAAAATTTATTTCCTGTCTTCTCTGTTTAATGTTTTGGACAGTCACTGTATCTCAGAGGATTTATCCAGTATCCTGCTATGAAAACAGCATTTTTACAAGCTCATCAGTTGATACATCTACAGCCAGTGTCTCAAGATTTTTGCTTTGTTGCTRTTCATTAACTCACTGCTTTACTAAAGAAATAAAAAATATATATTTCCCCATTTCCATCTGAAGTAGTCATCTGTCTGTTTCCCAGAAATAAATAYGTATGTTGTTACCAGAAGTGAGCATATTGCCTTTTTGCCTCCTTTCTGGCTCAGTGTTGGTCATTTTGCATTTT